AAAGAATGTCAGATGAGGGACCGGCAGCCCTGCATCAGGCTTTTGCAGTGGTAAGATGTGGCAGGAATCTAGGCTTTATTTCTGGAATGCTGCTAATTACTGTGATTTCAGAAAATTGTCACTTCTTAACGCCGAATGGGAAAACTTTTCAAAATGGCGCAGTCATGGCTAGTTTTCCTGACTTTTGTTTCAACAGGTAGGTGGAGGATGGTGCACAGTTGCCATCCATATAGCTCTTCCCGCAGGATGAGGTCGGCATTCTCATCAGGGGTTCTCAGAGCAGTCTCTGGTATTGGAAATTTCCAGTGAGAAAGATGCTGTGGAGGGGCCCTCCCTCGGCGGCCTCCAAGCCTGATAATTTCTCTGTAGCTATCTAACGCTTGCTCCTGGAGAGCTGAGAGCCCAGAATCACCAAGGAAAGGGAGATGGGATCAATCTGAGTGTCTCCAACTGACACTGTGGGTGTAGGAGGATTTAGTGTCTCTACTCTTGATGACTTTAAAGGGATTGGAGGGCAGCATGGGGACCCAGATAGACAGCGTCAGATTGTTCCAGGTCCATCTGAGGGTGGATCCACTCTAAATTTGAATAGAGAAAATTATGATAGCAGTTGAGAGAGTACAAGGCCCAGAGATTAATGGGATAACTACTAAGACTAGAATAGATTTAACTCACTTTACCAGGAACAAACAGAGATCCATTTTAAAATTGCTCGCCAATGGGATGGTGGCGTTTGTCATGGTCTTAGTCGGATTTTTGTGGACCTTGTAAAGCAAAAGGACACATGAGCAGAATTATTAGGAGTGATGAAACAGCGCTATGTGTATGAGCAGGAAAAGGATATGTCTCCAGACATATCAGCAGCCCATATAGAGAACTGTGAACGCTTTGCTTTTTTTCCATGGCCCAGTATACTTTATTCTGGAACTAGCCCACATTTTAATTCACTCATTAGTTGATGGGCATTGGATTACTTTGTAGCCTTTTGGCTTGTATGAACAATACTGCTATAAACATTTGAGAACAAGTATCTGTCTGGCCATATGCTTTTATTTGAGTATATACTGGAAGGCCCAAATACTAATCTTAGGTGTCACAGCTTAGGAACTCCCAAGGGGCCACATCACTTCACCCCTCAGTAAGAGGGCGTGAGAACTCCGATTTTTCTACCTCCTCATCAATGTGATGGTTATCTGATTTTTGGTTCTAGCTGTCCTAGCAGCTGAGAAGCGCTGTCTCGTTGTGGCTTCAATCTGCATCTTCTGTGTCTGGCTCATTTCATTAAACATGATCCATATTCCTGCAAATGATTTGTTGTCCTTTATAACCGAATAAAACTCTCTTGGGTATATATCTCATTCTCTTTATCCACTCATCTCTTTATGGACATCCAGTTGATTCCTTATTTTGTCTTTTGTTTTGGTGGGGGGTTTGGGGGGTGCTGCAGGAGGTGGTGTTAACCAAAAACATGAATATACAAAAGTTCCTGGGGGGGGGGTCATTACATACCCAGTTCAGTTATTTCCCCAGCATTTATATAGCTGAATTACAGGCTAGTTCTACTTTTATCTACTTTTTTTTTTTTTTAAGGAACTGTCGCACTGATTTCCAGAGTGGATATTACTAATTTACATTCCCATGAGTCTATGTCCACCACTGCCCTTTTCCTTCCCTGTTTTCTTGACAATGTCCATTCTGACTGCGCTGTCTGGGAAAAGGAGCTGGAATCTCACTGTAGCTCTGATTCCCTAATGCTTAAGGATGTTGGATGTTTCACCGTTTATTTGTCGGCCGCGTGGCCTACCTTAGGATGGGGCCTCTGATTCCCCTCCTCGGGGGAGCCCTGTACTGCTCACTGTGTCCCCAGGTACGGTCCCCGACAGTCTTTGTCATTTGTGACGCTCTTCCAATACTTCCGCCTTTGGAATGGAGTCTACCCTGTGTAGCCCCATATCATTTGCCACCTTCTCATTACACCCCGGAGCCAAGGTACCATTTTCTACTTCACTCCTGTGCTGCCTTTTGATCCAAGAACATGGAATGTTTCCCCATTTACTTGGCATTCTTAAAAATTTCTTTTCAGAGGGAATTTTAGTTTTTCAGAGCTCAAGTCTTCTAAGCCTCATATTTTTTTCTTATGCCTTTTATTCTCTTTGATGCTATTATAAATAGTTTTCAGGTCAATTGTAGATGTGGAAATACAGTGAATTTAATGTTCGAGTATTGTCCTGGCCTGCTCCAACATTGCTTGATTCCTTTACTGATTCTAACATACTGTTTGGTAAATTCCAAAGGATTTTGTATGCACCAGGTCATGTCATCTTCGAAAATAAGTTTCTTCTTTTCTAATATGGTCGTATTATTCCATTTTTTTTTTTACATGCTACTTAATCACACTCGAGATTTGGGAAATGTTCTTGGTCTTCTTCTTGGATGTGTGTATGAAGAATCAAAACTAACTCTCCATTGAATAGTTTGCAAATTCTATGGTGAGCTCTTGGCCTCAGCTTGTATTCTGGGCACTGAAAACAAAACAAAACACCCCTATCCAATTTCTCCATTTGTTACACTCTTGTACATATTTTCTATTTCCTCTTGAGTCAGTTTTGGTAGTCTGTGCCTGTCTCTTGGTTTCTGATCCTCTAAGCCTTCTTACCTCATTGTTTTTTAAGCGCTGACAGATGTCATTGCCAACCGTAGAAAACCAACGAGTGAGGCCGGTACAAGGCAGGAATAAACGGCAACAAGGGGGCATCAGCCTGCGAAGCAACAGAAGCCAACACGTGGATTAGCAGAGAAGTCAGAACTACCATGAAACAGCATCAGCTGATGACCAGATTGCAAAGAGAAGTGGGGACCAGGGGGTGCAATTGTGGGAAGGAAAGAAAGCAAAAAAGTAGACCGAGGTTTAGGCAGGGAGAGCAAGCATAGTAATGAGATCAGGGTGTAGTCCCTGTTTCTAAACCCACTCCCGACTTAATTCAGGCTTTTTCTGAGCTTGTGTTGAAGCAGGGAACCACTCACTGAGCTTGCTGTTAAAGCATCCAAACATGTGGAAAGGTGGGACCGACTGCACTGGGCTATGTCTTATTTAGGGGTTCTACTGCTGTGAAGAGACACCATGAACATGTCAACTCTTATAAAGGAAAACATTTCACTGGAACTGGCTTACGGTTCAGAGGTTCGGTCCATTGTCATCATGGTGGGGGCAGGGCATGCTGCATGCTGGCAAACGTTGTGCTATAAAAGATGAGAGTCCTACGTCTTGAAGGCAACAGGAAGTCAACTGAGACACTGGGCATCGGTATCCTGAGCATCGGAAACCTCAAAGTCCGCCCCTACAGTGACACACTTAATCCAACAAGGCCATGCACACTCCAACAAGACCACACCTGCTCATAGTGCCATTCCCTATGAGATTATAGAGGCCAATTACATTCAGACTACCACAGGCTACAAGATAGAAAGCTGGAATAGCATGAGGATCCTGCTCAAGACACCTCCTAAACTCCTTAGTGGTGACACAACACATCCAAGAACAAATAATTTAACTTAACATTAAGATATGTAATTTAGAACCTATTCTTGAACCATACAAGATCACTGACAGCAATGTACAATTACACCGACACTTTATATGTCCCAGAAATAAAGTTATTTTCCCATATTTTGGAATGTAAAAGTTGAGCCTTTATTCCAAATTAATTCTTGCCTAAAAAAAAAAAGAATGAGCAGCATGAATCCATTGAATAAATAAAAGAATTAAAATGGAAAATATTTTTGATCACATACTTGATTAAAATATTTAGTATTATGTGTATCTGGAAAGAGATGTCCCCTGAGAAATACAAGTTCCAGCTGAGCCGGGGTTTATTTTAAAGGGAGAAAGCCACAGCTATGCTAATAATCCCTTTTAAGATTCTGTGGATAACACGAAACTCACAGCAGCATCTAACATAAACATGTAAGGAGATTTGAGAGAAACACAACAAAAATAAACTACAGAGATTTTCTTTTCTTCTCTCTGGCTCCTTTAAAATCTCAAGGAAAAGGATAAGAACCATAATAAGGGTAAGTTTACATTGCAGAAACTAAAGTCTTTAAAAAAACAAAAAAACCAAAACTGACTCATGAAATGAACTAGGTCCTTAGGAGCATAGTAAGATGAACTTAGATATAGACAGATTATCTGATCTGTTATTGACTGCATTAAGATTTTAGTTGAAAATGAGAAGTAAATAAATTAGCCTTGCTCCAAAGGTAACTT